ACAGAATAGAGGAGTTTCGAAGATATATTTGATAGGCTATCAATATATCGTGGATGGACTGATTTAGACTGGCTAGCGATTGCAGGTGATGTTGAGCACAGCGTTCCCACTCGTGATCTGGTGCGGATGCATGACCGAGCGCCTTCAGCTAGGTGAGTCCATTAGAACATGTGGTCAGCATCCAATGTCGAAAACTTACAGAGCTATTTATTTTGGGGATTCACTTACCGCTACATATCACTCCCCCCAGTAGGGTAGTAATTGACCATGATGTGGCCAGCCAGAAGTTTAATCCCAACGAGTTTGCCGTTGGTAAACACTCTTCTGATAGCTTGCTAAGTTTAGCAGCGTCTGGTCGTCCTTCCCTAATATAAGTGACCAGGAAGTACAATATAGTAAATAAATAATGTACGATGAAAATTTTTGTTTCGTCATAGACCTCATAGTTCTTTTTTATCGTCTTTTCCAGCCGTTCTGGAAAAGAAAAAAAGAAAATGTAATTGCATGTCAAAATAAACTCGTACGCGCTTTCAGACACAAAGTGGGAGTGAAAAGGAAAATAAACTCATATACATGTGATAGCGTAAAAGCTATTTTTACAAACTGTTTTTTTCTTGTTCTTTCTTTAAAAATTTTACTATACATATTAGCCAAATAATAAATATATACAAATATAAGCATATGAAAATTGATTTTTTTAAATATTATATATATTGCCATGGAAAATCGAGATGAAGCAAAATGTTTACTAGTGTCTTACGTGCGATAGTCATTTAAATGTTCTGGAAATCTTACTCTTCTTCCAGAACGCGTTGTTTTACGTTTATCTTCAGATAATGACGAAGTATCATCGTGCGTGTTAGTTGCCGGATGGGGTATTGTAAGTGTGGGAGCCGTGTTGTTCGATTGTACCGAAGGAAAATCGACGTAGATAGGATTTCCTTCTAAATACGCTGCTTTTAGGCGATTGATGCTGATGCTGTCGTTAGTTCCGTTCTTATCAGTTATATAGTACTTAATTTCTCGTTGAAGAACTTTGAAAGGTCCTTCGTATGCTGATTCGAAGGGTTGTCGATGCGAGTCTCGACGTACTAAGACGTGTGTACTATATCGTAAGTCAGGTTGAACGAAAACATCGGTTGATTACGGTCGAGTGGAAACAGGTTTAACTGAACGCATTGTGTTTGTAAGCCTGTTCGTGTAAGAGATTAGATCCATGTTCACTGAAGAGGATGAAGGATCCACGAATTCTCCTGGAAGTTGAAGTGTCGTTCCCTAAACGAGTTGAGCTGCAGTGTATCCAATGACGGCTTTCACTGCATTGCGAATACCTAGTAAGGCGAGTGGGAAAGGGTCGGTCAACTGTGAAAGGTTTGCAGCTGATGGTGAAGCTTTTAGTTGTCAGTGAAAGCGTTTTACCGACCCGTTTGCTTGTGGATGGTAGGCCGTCGTTCGGAAGCGAGTGATTCATAAAAGTGTGGTCAGACAACGGAAAAGTTCCGATCCGAACTGACGTCCGCGGTCTGTATTGATGGTTGAAGAGCAGCTGAAGTTTGCTACCCATCGTTCGACGAAGGCGCAAGCCACTGTTTCAGCAGTGATGTCGTTGATAGGTACTGCTTCTGGCCATCGAGTGAAACGGTCTACGCACGTTAAGAGATAAGAGTATCCATTTGAATCTGGTAAAGGTGCTATCAAATCCAGATGAACATGGTCGAAACGAGCATCGGAAGTTTTAAATGAGCCTAAGGGACATTTATTGTGTCTGATAACCTTAGATTTTCGGCAGCTTACACAAGAGCGTGCCCACCCTCTCACATCTTTATTCATGCCAGGCCAGCAAAACCGTTCTGCTATAAGCTTGATGGTTGCACGAACACCTGGATGAGAAAATTCGTGCAACATACTGAAGACGTTGCGTTGATAATGTTTCGGCACGATCGGGCGATCCCTACCTGTAGATGTGTCACAAAGTATGGTTTCCTTACCTGTTCCAATCTGTTTGATGCGTTGCTTGAGTGTTGTAGACGATAACTCGTGTCTTCTTTTTCAAGCTGGGGAGTTGAAGAAGGTCGATTCCTTGTAAATTGTTCAAGGAAGTTATGCGAGACAAGTCGTCTGCAACTAGATTGTTTGCTCCAGAAATGTTTTGGATGTCTGAAGTGAACTGCGAAATGTAGTCCAGCTGTCGAGACTAACGAGGTGAGTTCTTGTCAGAGGAAGAGCTTAAAGAGAGGGTAAGCGATTTATGGTCAGTGAAAAGGGTAAATTCACGGCCTTCGATATAGTGTTGAAAATGCCGTACAGCACAATACATAGCTAGGAGTTCCCTACCGAACGTGCTGTACCTCGATTCAGTGTCTAGCAACCTTCTAGAGAAAAACGTCAAAGGTTGCCAGGAGTAGTTAACCCAATGTTGTAAGACTCCTCCGAGTGCCGAGTCGGATGCGTCTACTGCGATACTAATGGGTGCTCGGATGTCCTGATGTGCAAGCATTGTTGCTTTAGCAATCAGTTCCTTAACTGTGTAGAATGCTTTTCGTGCGGTGACGTCTAGTTTGATGGATTTCGCATTTCCACGAAGATGGTCGGTAAGAGACTTCATGAGTAACGCGCATTTAGGTATGAATTGTCTGTAGAAACTTACAAGGCCGTTAAACGTGCGTAATTGCTTGACGGTGGTCGGTTCTGGGTAATCCATGATGGTCGCCACTTTGGTTCTAAGGGGTCGAATTCCTCGAGCATCGATAGTGTGTCCTGGGAAGTCTAACGAGTCGGTTCCGACTTGGCATTTCTGAATGTTTACAGTAATGCCATGTTTTTGTAGTCGTTAGAAAACAGGATCCAGATGCTTGGGATGTGATTCTCTGTCCGGACTTGTTATTAGACAGTCGTCAACATACGCGTGTACGAAGTTGGGACCTCGAAAAACGTCGTCTATGAACCTTTGGAATGTTTGAGCAGCGTTTCATTGACCGAAAGGCATTCGCAGAAATTTATAGAGTCCAAAGAGACTAACGATAGTTGTTTTCGGTTTATCGTCTGTAGCCATAGGTATTTGATTATACGCTTTAACCAAGTCGATTTTCGAAAAGACAGTTGTACCTTTCAAAGTAGCTGTCAAATCGTGAATGTGAGGCAACGGGTAACGATCAGGAATGGTTTTCGCATTCAGTTGCCGATAGTCATCAGTTGGACGCCAATCATTGCTATCCTTTCTGGGGACAATGTGCAACGGAGATGCCCATGAGCTGCTTTACGGTCGTACGATTCTTAAGTCTATCATTTGGTCGAATTCGCTTTTGACCAACTTTAGCTTTTCGAGGGCTAGTCGTCATGCTTTAGAGAATACAAGTGGTCCTGTAGTCGCGATGTGATGTGCAACATTTCTGGTTACACACGGCAATTTCGATTGCGGTTGGTATATCCCAGAATGCATATTGAGTAATGGTTGATAGAACGGGTTTATCGCGAGCTTAATTGTGACTGGAGATAATCCGCGACCGGAGAAAGAAGTTACGCAAACAGATAAATTAGTGTTTTGTGTCGGTCGGTCTTGAGTTAGGAAAATTGCAGGGTTTTCTGCAATTCCTAGAAGACTTTCCATACTGGTTATGATATCAGCACCAGCCGGGGTCATCAGTCTCTCGTGGTCCGGAAACATATTGCCTACTTGAAGTGCTTCTTCGAGGGGTGTGTGACCATTTATGGTCGTTACGAAATTTAAGACAACATGTAAGTGTATGACACAACTCCGTTATGTCATCCTGGGTCGTTTGAGGTTTCACTTTGCCTGAAAAACCTCGGCATTAAAAGATTTCGTGGTTTCTTAGATGTGGTCGGTATGTGCAGCCAGTCCTCTAAGGCGTTGTTTTGAAATGAGACCCGCACAGCTTGCACCTGTTGAGGAAGCTTGGATAAGAAAAGTTGTTTGAATAGGCCATCATCGAATGTTCTTTGGCTGATAACCTCTCTCGTTGTTTGCGACATGTCTGTCTCAGAACTGTGATGCAGGTCGATGTTATTAAGGAGCTGGTCTAACCTTTGTCTATCGGTTAGGTCTCCGCGTTTAAGGATAGATCGTTTCAGTGTTTCGTAGGGTTCAGAAACATCACTAGTAAACATACTAGGTGTTACGTACCTGTTGGATTCCCGCGGTAGTGCCTTGACTACTTCGAGGAATTGTGCGCGTGTGTCGTTCACGCCGTGCTCGTGGAAGTCGGCTTATGCGTAGCAAAACCAGGCCTCGATGTTGTCTGGCCAGAAGGGCATTAGTTGAAACGAAGGTGGGTCTTTAGCTTAAGTACTTTGAGTGTATATTCAGTTATAATGAAATATCAAGTACGAGGATGAACGAGTAAAAAAAATATATATCCAAAAACACGGATAAAAAGTATCACAATGTGTAGAAAATTAAAATAAGGCAATGATATATTAAATCCCAAAAAGGAACAGATACAGTTTGCATTTTGATATGCCAAATCACGTTAGGCTCACCAATGAAGATGCCACAGGTATTTGGAGTTTGACAACGCTTTAACCAGCAACACCTAATATGAAGCGTACCCACCAAGTGAAATCAAAAGACAGAATAGAGGAGGTTCGAAGATATATTTGATAGGCTATCAATATATCGTGGATGGACTGATTTAGACTGGCTAGCGATTGCAGGTGATGTTGAGCACAGCGTTCCCACTCGTGATCTGGTGCGGATGCATGACCGAGCGCCTTCAGCTAGGTGAGTCCATTAGAACATGTGGTCAGCATCCAATGTCGAAAACTTACAGAGCTATTTATTTTGGGGATTTATTACCTCTGCAATCGTTTGCACTTATTCAGGTTTCCAAGAAGTTGAAATAGTGATAAGAAAACTCACAGACCTTTATGGCCATAAACCAATCAAAACGTAAGCAATTTGGAGGGTAAAGAATAATTACCTAAAGAAAAGTAGTGTATTGAGGTCTGTCTTGTTTAAGTATATCGAATTGACACAGTAATCCGTTGCATGTATACAGTAGCGGCATAAAGTATTTGTTTTACTATTTTGTTTGTTTATGGTTTATATTTTGTCTAAGCTGCTATGGTGTTTTTCACACATCGTTCAAACTTCTTTCCAGCATATCGCCGTATTTATATCTTTAGTACTAGTGGCCGAAAATAACAATTCAGCCCTTGATCAGGGGTTGAAAAGTAAACATTTCTGTGTGTATTTGGACGAAAAGTAGACAATTCAGCAACATTTGAAACAGCGACATGAACGTAAAAAACAGATCTTTTTGGCACGTTTCCCCATTATTTCCCTTTTGTTCGCCTTTATTTCCCCTTTATTGTTTGGTTGTAGATAATCACTTCCTGCATCAAGTACAGAAAAATCTGCCTATAATTAAAGACTGTGCCAGAAAAGTGCGGAACTACGCAATAAAGTGATCGTGTCAGCTATGGAAGTATAGGAAAAGTCCATAGAACTTATAATTCTTTTGGTACTTTAAATTGAGATCATGGAAAGTAACAATTTATTTTATCATATATCATATGATATACTTCAGTAAGAACAAAGCTGAGTCCCGCAACGTAGAAAAATGATCTGCGTAACTTGTCCAAAATTACGGGTAGTGAACAATTTCTATATATTATTAGTGTTACTGTTGTGTAGATTTTCTTAACGCTTAACTCATCCCCACGATACTACTGGTGTAAGGTAGATTAAACTAACATCTGTTTTCGGCCCTACATCTAAACTAATTGGGTTCGTCATTTATTTATTTTCTCAAGTTTCATCAGGTCTCCTGTGTTAGTGTCTGATAAAATTCCAACGCGGATTCCGAAAGCTTTAATGACCTTCATCAGCTTCCATTATTTTTGGTGCAAACGAATTGTCTGTCTTGACTAAAGTATGGATATACTGCCCAGTAGTTCCCTGTGTTCTGCTTTATGACTAAAACTTGGCCTTTAAAAACAGGACATTCAAAGGGTAAATACAGTGTAAATGTAAAAGTTGAGAACTGAGAGTTGTTTTACAAGTTGTTTTTTAGTCGAGACAGAATGTAGGTGGCTTAATTGTAAAGGTTATTTAAAATGACCATACTTGATAAGTGGGATATTGTTAATCAACATGGCTTGTCATATAGCATGTAGTATATACTTTGTAAAACATACACGTCATTGAGCAACTTGACATCTACACAACATTTTTGTCTTATTTATTTAGTTTTTGAATGACAATTATGATCAGACGAAATAATCTTGGTCTCTTCCTTTCGAAGAGTTATTTCAATTTCGAAGTATCACTTCTCCAAAAAACTGTTGTTGTTATACATGGCGATGACTTTATTCATTTTATATTGAAGAACGTAATTGGTTTTAAAGATAATAATCATAATGAGTTCCTTCTTTTCTCAATGACGGCTTCTAAGTTGATAAGTCAAGTACAAATGTGTGACATTCAACCACTCTTTATTTTTGATGGTTGCACTAAAGTTGGAGTAAGTCTTATTTTTAAATATATTACCTCTTCAAGCGAAACTTTTGTTGCAAATATTTACGTATCACTCTCTGTATTATCTTTATTTGGACTAGTCCGCTAACCCCTGTCAGCCCATCATTTAGAACAGCTACATGATGCTAATTTATTTATAACTTCAATCTCAAAGTCTTCACTCTTTCAAGACTACAGCTCTCAAACATTCTCTTTTTCAATCAACGGTTTGGAAGGTTTCTGGCTTACTGTCTTCCGGCTATATAAATTTATCTACCGACATCTTGTTCACGTAAAAGAAAACTCGATAAGTACAGGTAAACATTCAGAACTGTCATTAGAGGTTGGCCTACTCCAGTTTTTAAACTAACGACTCTGTCCCTTAATCTGAAATCAAGCAATGTAAACTTGTTACGTATTCATAATGACCGTCAGTATATCCAAACTTCACTTGACCCCTTAATCGTTAGGCTAAATATGTTGAAAAACGTATGTTATTTTCGATTCATTTTAAGAATCCATTAGATCTAAGTACGAAGTTATCTCGACTGAAATCAGAAGCTTTGTTCGTAAAGGTGGAACCTTAGAAAGAAATAAAAAACATTCTCAACTTGGTGTGATGATATTTACTTACATGCTGATACTACCACATACAGTCAACGTTCTGACTTGAAATGTACCAAAATATACAAGTTCAAAGTGTCACATTTTAAAACAGCAAAATATTCGGATGAACAACTAGAATGTGGTTCGAAAAATCATACAGACTGAGCCGTGAGTTAGAATATTATCAAGTGTAAAAGTTGTTGCCACGTTGTGGCCTATTTTAGGTCGCAAGTCCCATCAAAGTAAACTTTGTAGTTTACGCTTCTTCATATTCACGTTTCCCCTGTTATTTATTACATACCAACTAGCCCCATAATGTTTATCTTTACCTGTGTGTGATTCATTCATTCAGAAACAACGTAGAACTTCGTACGTACGTGCATCAGTTCGAGTTACCATACCACATTACAACAGAGATACAATTGTCGATTCAAATCCCATAGTGGTAGAGGTAGTAAAAGTGTAAGCAGTATTAGGGAAGATTAGGGTTTGAAGATATTATTCAAGGAGTATAATCCAGTGAAATAAATCTGGAAAGAGGAGAAAAAGAACATGAAGAATTCAGAAGAACACAAAGAGTAGATGCACCCGCACCATTGCAAATGACTTTGAGCCATGTCACTCAAGGTCTCTTACCATCGGTTGCTATCATCTCACGGTCCCCAACCAGGTAGTCTTCACCTAGCAACGTGACCCAGTCCACTTGTCAGTGACTTCATGGATTTTTGCCATGTTTTGGTCTGGCCGCCTCTAGCTTTCTCCCAACATGCACCTACACCTTTGTGTAATTAATATATTTCCATCTCCGTACTACGGAAAACAATTAAGGTGAATCCAAGACCATAGCTTTGGTGGTAAGAAAACTTATTTCTTCTGAAATCCTTCGACTTAGCTTCAGATGAGCAGATAACTTTGTATTTTTTTGAGTCGAGTCAATTTACAGAGGTAAAACTGTTTAGTTAATGAATGTTGATTTTAAGAACCCTAAGCGTACATCGTGTTTGTCAAATTTCTCATTGTTATGTCTGAATCACTGACCAGTCGATATGAGTTCTGTGTCCATAACATTTACTCGACTACTTGGTTCGTTTTACTCAGTTTTAATTGGAAATCGCATTGGTTTCCTTCGTTAGTCAGTTTTAGATTCCTCAATATTTGACACGATTCAAACCATGAATAAGTGCTTGTAAACTGAATCCCCAGACCTCTGCTTCATATTTGGATAACTGTACAAATTAAACACTAATGCTGTATCGCCTTTGCCCTCAAATGCCCTGGTACGGCCGAGAGTGGGGAGAGTCCGCTCTCCCTCTCAAAATGCTCTCACATGGTCACGCGTATATAGCCTCTGCCAGGGAAGTCCTACTCACTGCCTTCTCGTGGCGGGGGTGTTTACGAAACTGAGAAGACGAAAAGCGAATGTCCGGCGCTTTACCCGGATTCCAAACCAATGGTGCACATGGGCTCCAGTATCCTGCGGGAACAAATGGCGTATGAACCAATTGTTGGTCACCGGCTACCATGGGACTGCATCTCCTTACGATGCTCCACTGCCTTGTGGATCAGGTCGAAGGCTCAGGGAGTGGCCTTCTAAGAAAACCACCTGTTTCGGTTTGGGCACCCCGGCAGTATCACGGCCCTCACACAACAAATGAGATTTGTGTGGCGCATATGTATTTGGTGCCTCCTTGTATCAATATCTATGTGTTAAAATAATAATAATAACACTATATATTTGTATAACAAACGCTAAATACAGTAATATGTTGTTGTATCGCCTTTGCCATTTTTTACCTAAGTATTTTGACTTAGATTTTCTTTGTCTCCCAACTTGTCTATTCGCTAACCAGTCAGTACCCCTGTTTTACTTCCTATCTCATCTTTCTTTTCCTTTTTCAGCAAAACCAATCACGCTACAATGATCAGATGTGGTCCATAATCAATCGTTACAAATCATCATTTGTGGATGTGTTGTCGTTCTTTCAAATAAAATACATGACATCACTGTATTCAGCTCAGTCTGATGCTGCTTCATTATCCATATATTTACATTGTCCGTTTATAGCATCCAGTTATGATATTTACTACATGTTTCCTGCTCACGCTACTAAAACTGAAGCAAGTATTATGCAAGAATTAATCTACGTCCCGATCCATCTCCTAGATTTTTTTAGCTGCAAAGATGGTGCTATTATTTTGTCTCATGTTTTCCACCAAAAGTTTTCTCGTATTTCGTCAGTTGTACCCCATTTACGACCTTTATTAAGTGTACTGTATGCTGGGCGGTCCGAGGTACGTGCTAATGTGTGTAAGCAGTTAAAATATAGTACGACAGATTACTCCAACTACCCTAGTCCTCGTTTACATGAATGGTTTGTTCTAGTTAACTGGTTGGTAAAATCATCCAATGTAAATTATGTTACACTTTATGAGTATGTTATTCAAGCACATCGTGCTGAAGAACGACAAAGTGTGACTGAGTATCTTCTGGATTGTATTGCGGCTTTTATGGATAATGTTCTAGAAAGTGGACTTGAAATAGCATCTCACTTTTGTTTAGTAAACTCCAGTTCCAATGTACCTAAGGGTAGGCTGATTGAGATTAGTGAAGAAACTAATGCTTCAGTAAGCTTACAACATATGGATCGTCTGACCAATCAACTCAACGCCAAACAGCCAATAAAGTTCAATTTTACTCATGATTGGCCTCGTAATGTGACAGAACTGTATCGAAAGGTTAAACTTTCTCCAGCTATTATTGATGTTTTACACCACTCCATTAGAAAACCGTTTCTGTCAGTTCATGCTTACTCCGTCAATTTACGCCTACTTGTTTACCGAATTCTTTACGGAGTAGAGCATTGTGCGGGTGTAAAACTAAATCCAAATATAACTGAGTACACATGGGTCGGTGATGATATGTTAACCGAGCTCCCTCTCACAATTAGTCCTCTTCTTATGAATTCAAATAAAAGTAATTCAGTGGATGAAATAGTAAGCAGTCAGTTGAATATCCCTCTTCCACAACACACACCCCAACCTGATTGGATTTTTACTTTGGCTGTAACTTTAGCATTTTGGCATCAACAACATATCAATAATACTGACGAAGGCCATGAACGTCATTTCGAAAATTCCCCAATTGGTTTAGCTATTGCAACTTGTGTTGTAGTCAATGTTTTCAATATTGATTTCATGAGTAGCAATCTACATGAACATTACACACGGTGGATTGACTTCATCAGAAACGAAATATCACTTGCTTCTGAACGTGCTTCGTCAATAAATCAGTCTCCATCATCTTGTACGAAATCTGTCACGGAACAAAACTTATCAAACCTAATCGCTGTTCAACATATCTACAACGAATTGCAAACCGTTGTCTCATTACTAAACTGTTTAGCAGGGGATGAGAATAAGTCTAAATTATTTAATTTTCTGCCTTGTTGGGTTTTGTTTCCTTCTTTTCATCTAGTAGATTGTCTTTCTCATCATTTAGACAATCAGTTGCCCTCTATTCGATTAATTCATGTAACAAGTTACTGGATACCTCGATTATATTGTGCTAAAAGATCTAACAATCTGATAACTGATCTTATCAACATTTTTAAACGCTTGGTTAATACTGTTACGCTGCTTTCTGCATCATCTTTATTTAATCTGAAACCTAGTAGTATGACTAGGAGAAGTGAACAACGTGCTCCTTTATCAGAATTCAATAACACCATTCCGGTCAATAATGTTAACTGTAATGATTCGATGTTTCACAACATTAAACTGACTTCAGTATTATCTGATGGTAAAATTAGCAGTGTACTTGGCAAACATCTGGATAAACAAGTGATTGACAGGTTTCTCTGTAATTTGACTGAGAAACAAAATGTTGCGTGATTGTTTCTTTTAACGTGTTTTTATTTTCCTATTTTGACTACTTCATTCACTTTCCATCCTGCATAACCTACTTGCAAATTATTAGTGCTTGTGAATATTTACTGAAAAATTAACATCATTATGTTTACGATTGATGTATCCATTACATATAAATTTTCCCACTTATCAGTGAATTTATTAAAGATTAGTGTTACTACGTTAAGGTTGTAAGTAGCTGACGAGAAACCGTGAAATATGATGAATTCATGTTATTCTGCTACATTGATTGTTCTTGCTTTAGTCATATAATGTAACAATCACAAACTATGATTATCAGCGAAGTCGTTTTGTACAAACGTTTACATTTGATTCTTAATTTCTCCAAATATTAGTTTTCTTATTGTTACTTATTTGGCAAAATGAAACTAATTTTGTATTTTCTTCCCATAATTTTAAATAACTCGAAATATCACTAGTTTTTCTGAGATTATTTTGTTAGCGAGATATAGATTGTTAATTTCTCCAAATATTAGTTTTCTTATTGTTACTTATTTGGCAAAATGAAACTAATTTTGTATTTTCTTCCCATAATTTTAAATAACTCGAAATATCACTAGTTTTTCTGAGATTATTTTGTTAGCGAGATATAGATTGGATTAAGACATATTTTGTGCAGTATTGTATTAGGGCACGTTGATTGGCTATTTCCTAACCCATCGGCACCACTGGATACTTGGAGAGCGCTCTAGAATCTTCTCATGTAAAAACTATAAATATACTAACGTTTTTCTTATCGTGATTCCTACTTCCATCCAAACCTTGGAATCCACTGCTCGTGTTCACACGCTCTTACAAGTACTTCATGTAATGCAGTTGCCAGCAGCATCCCAGGATTCAACTATAACCCCGAAAGTGGAAACACCTTTGTCATGGGGTTCAATCGTTGGGAAGATACATTCAGAATCTTGATACAAAATGCTTGACATTTATATGTGTAAACAGACTATTTGAAATATATAGCGCAAATACATTACAATTTGCAGATCAGCTACGTCTTCTCATTGCTTTATCGAAACTTATAAAAGGAAATAATTGCTTCAAAGAAACCATGGATCTCCGATATAGATGATTTTAAATATATCCATCAGGAAGCATCAATTCTCTCAGGTTTACAGGTGCACCTTAATGACGAGTGCCAAATAGCACGAAATCTAGGTCATGGGTTTCCTGTCGACTACCACCAGCCACCCTCTCACCTTAACTTATTACACGCGACGTTAAGTCACCTAGACTAGTACCCATATTGCAACGTGGTCGGTAGGATTCGATCTGCACTGAAGAGTTCATAACATCGGTCACTACTTAGTAATCAACCAATTACAATCTAAATGTATTTTGACCAATGCTGGGAGAAAAATCAAATTATGTTATATCACTGAGTGTAGATCAAAATGTACTGTTAAACTTGAAATACTGTGACTTTGTGGCGTGAAAATTTTGGTGTTATTTACTGCTAAAATGGGAACAAAGATTTCAGCAAAGTTTTATTATGATATACATGTAGAACATTTGGCTAGAATGTACTCATGTGACAGTCCAGTGTATCATTATAAGCGTACCCTTTACTTTGCACCTACGCATACGAATAATAATAATTCCTTGTTCATATACCATTATTGTATCCTGTTTGTGGAATATAATTATACCATTGTGTATTTCCCTAATTACTCCGTTCAATTTTGTATTATATTACATCTTGTTCCATTTGGATATATGTACTTACTAAGCATCCGTTTATCTACCAGTGATTCCGTTTTATTGTAGTGCATGCTACTTATGCTGACAGATATAAGTAGTATGTAGCAGTAACAGGAGATGTGATTTACTGAAACAAGAAGTGAAATAGGTAGCAAATGAAGTAACAACAGAATTGAAAGAACCCTAAAGCTTGTAAAGAACAACTGAAGGAACATGTGTGAATAATGTATTTAATGTGTGATTTTCATACATTATAAAGGCACTGTAATTTCGCGTTAAATAATAAATTGGTTTTTCCACCAAGTCTTTGCTCACTACAACATTACCCCTTATTTCGTCCGTATTCATGAATTATGCATTCCTTGGTTGTATTATCCTATCTGATTGATTAATGCACAATTATTTCTCTCATCCTACTTTATCTAGTTTTATTCTAAGTTCTCTCTCACTATGTCAACTGACATTAAAAATTAATCCAAGTATACATTACTCACTAGTCATTTATTCAAACATGTATAATCCTAATAATAGATATATTTTTGTTATATCCCAATGAGCAAAAAAATTGTAAAATGAAAGCCAAGTATGTTTGTCTGGAAAAACAGCCCAGGTTAGATGAACATTCAGTCCTTCTTTCCTGTTGAGCGCACGCTTTGGCTACTTGCCTCTCTGTTGCAGTTGGAAAAGCCATTCTGATTTATTTTGATATGATTGATATCAACTTGGTGATTATTGAAAATAACGCATTGCTATTGTTGATTTGTAAATTTTCCAATTCTACGTGATTATGAGGTCTTTTTGTATAACTTAAATTTTCCTTGGCACGAGCTGAGATCTCACGGAAAGTCTCCAATATAGAACGTATCACAATCGACACAGCATAATCTATAGACAAAATTTTGAGTGGGGTTTTATCTTTAATTCTAACTAAAGCGTTTCTTAGGGTGTTAGTTGTCTCATAGAAAGCTTTAATTTTGTAAGTTTTTAATATCGGTTGTAATTTCTCTGTTGTACCTTGGCGGTAAGGTAAAACCATATTACCAATCCAAGAGATTTCATTAGGATTGTTATTTGCCGAAGGACAGTTTTGTTTTAATGTTTTTAATAATATTTTTGGGATAATTGTTAGAACGTAGGATGTTTGCTATATTCACTTTTTCTCTCAGCTTGTCTTCTGAGGTAATTATTTTGGGTTGCTCTTCTGAAGAGATTCAGGGTTAAGGAAGTTTCCGCACAGAATGAATGTGTGGAGTTAAAATCAATATACCGATTCGAATGTGTCGGTTTTCGACAAATGGCTAGGTTTAGACTTTCGTTCGAATTCCTTTTAACTAAACACTAAGAATGGTAGTCCACTATGTTCATCTTCCTTTTCGAAAGTTACTATGATGTGCTTGGAGAAATTCCTAAGAGTTTTTAATCATGATAAGTATGTCATCCACATGTCTGAGCCAGATGCGTGATCTGATGATGCTGGCAAAAATAATCGTCTCACTGTGGAACATAAATAGGTTTGCAACAGTCGGAGGTACTGGATATTCAATGACTAATCCATTCGTTTGTTTATATAAAGTCCATTTGAAAGTGAAGAGCTGGGTTTAGGCATAGTTTGAGGGACTTTATGATAGAACTAATGCTTATCGAGCATCTACTTGATAGAGTATGATCGTTCTCTAGTAAACGATTAATGAAGTCTAGACATCTTATCAATTGCGATACTAGTGTATAAAGATACAACATCAAAGCTCACCATTGTTTCGTATTTGTTGATAAATAATTGCGAGGTTTTTTATTTGGATTCGTAAGAGTCCTTTACGACTGACTAGGTTATGTTGAAGGGGATTCAGTAAGCTGCTTAAATATTTAAATAAAGCATATGTAGGAGTGTTTGTGAAGTCCACTATTGGTCTTAAAAGAATGTCAAGTTTGCGAATTTTCGATAGCCTATAGAAATGGTATGTGGTGTTAGATTTAATGTGTAAAGTAAACCATAGGGAAACGCCAATAAATAGCTTTAGTTCTTCCAGAAGTTCACTTGTCTCTGCGTTATAACTTGCCGTTTGAATGCTTATTGTCTTGGCCTTTTTAATGCTACTTTTTGTATCTGGTCGTCGCTGATTGTTATGTCGAGAACGCTTATCACTTATACTCGGAATGAGGGACCTCTGCAATTCCCACGACGCGAAAGTAAGAACACAAAGACTGGTATGAGTGGTGATTTATTAACCCAAAACACTATGACGACGACGACCATTCTAGTAGAAAATACACTCATTTATATATTGATTGTACACCCATTTTGATTAATAATTAGAATATAATCACATATGAAAAATACTTAGGGTTATAACAAATCACATACTGAGCACAGTTCATGTCAATGGAATACAAGAATATCGTATATTATACAGAATAAAATATCATAAGAGAAAACAAAAGAAATACCACATTGAGTAATCATTACATTGAATCAAAACGGAATTAATCTTGAACTTAAACTCATAATGAGTAAATCAATCGAAAATTGACTTTTCTTTCTATCATATCAATCTGATTTATCTTTATTTTTAGCCACTTGACCTTTTTTAAAGTCTATTTTTAAATATGGTCCTATCGATAAATGATTAAGAGCTTTTTCTTCATAATCTCTTTTGTTCATGACAACTGTTGTATTACCTTTGTCATCCTTGGTAATGACAATCGTTTTATCATCTTGCAGTGAGCGCAAAACTTTCCATTCTTCTTTGGAAACACTAGGTGGAATGGATATTTGTTTAGTCAATATGTGGGTTTTTTGACGTAAGATATGCGATTGCTTACCTGGAATGTTTTCGAGTACGGGTTCCAGAATTGGAGCGTATTTTAGAGTAGTATTTGACTTTAATTTACATCGAAAACGGGATATGTGCTTCGTTATCATCGTTATACAACAATCAGAATGGAGTCAGACGACGATCCTGTAGATTCATGAAAGACGTAAGAACAAAGTAAAGATCACCATCTGGTGATGGGCAAGCTGAAACTGAAGCTAAAGAAGCATTGGACAGACAGCATTACGAGAGTTTAGTACAGTGTTCCCTCGGGATATTAACAAACTCAACGAATTCAAGATTGCTATCAGCAGCAGATTCCAAACCTTACTAAATTCGGTGAAATAGGAGAAAACTACCATAGAGAACAAATCGAAAGGAAATAAAGAAACATTAATTTCAACATGTCAGGAAATGCTGGGTCGTAAGAAGCATCATCATGAAGAATGGATCTCTGTCGAAACCCTGACAAGATTTGAGAGAGGAAGAAGAAGAAGACTAATTAAAAACACCCGTCAAGAACAGAAAAAGCCACGGCACAGACCGAATACACAGAAGGCAAGCCAACCGCTGAGATTCAAGAACAGATGGGCAGAACACTTTGGAAAAGGTGAAGACAGTCAGAGTAACAGCAACCTTTGGAGCAGTCGGCTTCAGTATACACAAGGAAAAGTGAGATCCTGAAATACAATTCAGCGGTCACCAACAGAATTTCTTTTGATGGAGAAGCTGTGGGAGAGGTGGAAGGCTCTACATACCTGGTTAGCATCATCAATAAACAAACAGGATCTGACTTAGATGTAAAGGCACCAATTGGTAAAGCAAGTTCAGCACACCTACTATTGAAGAACACCTGGTACTCAAAACAACTTCCTGTCAACATCGAAGTCAGAATCTTCAATACAAACGTCACGAC